TGTGTGTGTGTGTGTGTGTGTGTGTGTGTGTGTGCGTGCGTGTGTGTGTATGCGCTTGCGCATTAATATATACATACAGCTTACAGCTGAGAGGTTTTACTGCAGCCAACCTCCCCATGTGCCTGACCACCGGCTGCATACTAGCTGTCTACCACTCCTACTGATAACAATACGCTTTACCACACGCTCATCCGATCACACTCATCGCATCGTGCCGAATGTGCGCGCAAACAAATGCCGTCCCTCCCCCTGACCCTTGAGCCCTCCCTCCCCTGACATTAAGCCGTCCCTCCCCCTGACCTTGAGCCGTCCCTCCCCTGACCTTGAGCCCTCCCTCCCCTGACCTTGAGCCGCCCCTCCCCTGACCTTGAGCCGCCCCTCCCCTGACCTTGAGCCGTCCCTCGACGACCTTCCACTCGTCGGGAGTGTGGGCGGGGTCAGGTCGCTCGTCGCGCTGGGCCGCCATCTCTAGCTGCAGCTGCCGAGCGCATCTCTGTGCGGCGTCGACCTCGTTCATGAGACCGCGCTCTGCAAGTGAAGCCGCACGGCGGAGGATGAGGGCATCGTCAGCATCCTCACCGCCTTCGCGTCGTCGCTGCTGCCTCCCTCTCACATCCTCATATCACGCATCATTCTCCTCAATGGAAGGGTTACAGGGTTGGGGTTAGGGACTTAGGGTTATGGTAAGGGTCAGGGTTATAGTTGGGTTTAGGGTTAGGGTTATGGTTAGGGTTAGGATTAGGGTTACGGTTGGGGTTAGGGTTAGGGTTTGGGTTAGGGTTGGGGTTGGAGTTACGGTTGGGGTTAGGATTAGGATTAGGGTTAGGGTTTAGGTTATAGTCAGGGTTAGGGTTTAGATTATGGTCAAGGTTAGGGTTAGGATTAAGGTTAGGGTTAGGGTTAGGGTTAGGGTTAGGGTTAGGATTAGGGTTAGGATTAGGGTTAGGATAATGGTAAGGGTTAGGGTTGGGCTTAGGGTTAGGGTTTGGGTTAGGGTTAGGGTTAGGGTTAGGGTTAGGGTTAGGGTTAGGGTTAGGGTTAGGGTTAGGGTTAGGGTCCACCTCCCTCTCATCATCACCATCACCATCATCGGCTTTAGTTTATCCAGGCCTGAATTAATCCTCTCCCGAGGGTGGGATAACAGGCCTCTGCCGTTATAAATCCGTTATATTTATTTTTAAATATAGTTTTTGTTGCAGTTGGTATAATTACTTGCGATATTCTAATTGTTATCCTATTAAACTTATTGCACTTCAAAATTATACTTATTTGTAGAGTTGCTAACTATTTTACGAGGAAGACATTTTCGATGAAGTAAATAATAGTAACTTTTTCTCGAACTATATAAATTTAAGTTTATGACATGATTCATTATGTGGAATTATTAACCTATTATAGGTGCCAAATTTTTGTTCCAAAGCCTTGTTTCAGTCAATGATTATTATATAGTCATTATATAATTAGAATACTCTGACTTTCTGTATGCAAAATAAATTTAATTCTACCCAATTAAAATAAATTTCTCCCAATGTACAGACGAGTGGCAACCACCACCTGTAAACCCAAGCGTTCGCTTGTCAGGTTCATTGCTCACCCTTCAGCTTGCAGAGTCGATTCTGCTGCTGGCACGCTGCCAGCTCTGTCCGCAGCCCGCCCACCGTCGCCTGCTGCGTAGCCGCTGTCTGCAGTGCTGCCACCTTCGCGTCCCGTAGTCTCGCGACTTCCGACCTCAACTGCTTCACTCGCCGCTGAAGAGTACGTACGGCCGTCGTCGAGGAGGGGGCTCTCACCAGGGGGCGCTCACGACCGAAGCGCAGGCGCGATGTCGTATGTAGGCTTTTTGAGCGAAGGTGGTGCCTCTCTGCTCACCGTGAAATGACAAATGGCATAAATGTTCACCATCATCATCATCATCATCGTCATCATCAGCACCATTATCATCATCATCATCATCATCATCAACATCATCATCATCAGCACCATTATCATCATCATCATCATCATCATCATCATCATCATCATCATCATTGTCATCAATGCTATCATTATTATTATCAACACCATAATCATCATCATCATCATCATCAACAACATCATCATCATCATCATCATCACATGTACATCTTTACGACGCACACGCACCGATTAATGGACGCTCGTAGAGGGAGCCACTGTCTGCCCGCTCGTCGTCGTAATCCGACGGCGACCACGAGATGACGCGGGTCGGTGAGAGGCTGCGGGCTCGCCGGTGACCCCCAGCGTTGGGGTCATCATCATCGTCGTCGTAGGTCAGCAGGGATCTCACACGCTTCCTCAGACTGCTGCAGCGTGACAGGAGAGACCTGCGACAAGATGGAGAGATAGAGGGAGGAGAAAATTAAATAAACAATAACCGCAGCGATGGCTCAATGGTAGGATGCTCGCCTCGCATGTGGAAGGACGAGGTTCCGGTGTCAGTGTCGCGTGGAAGGTCACGTGGAAGGTCGGGTAGAGGGAGGAAGACCAGCCATCATTGTCTCGTATGCAAAACATGAGTGTTTCTCATGTTAAATTTATTTATTTTTTAAATTATCGGGGATATTTCGCTATAAGAATATTGTGTAAACAATCTGTTCAAGAATATTGTGCTACTGTCAGTGGTCTAATAGATACTTATATAGATACTACTAGATAAATAGATACTAGTCTTAATTACAAGGCAGCTGTAATAACAGGAAGTTGAAACTTTCTGTAGTCTGATATCTACTTGGTTTCACATGGAATGTGTAATAACTGGAGGTTGCTACTTCTGGCAGTCTGATATCTACCCAGTCCTTCCCATTAGCAGTTACATCGAAAGGTGGCTAATGCTGGAGGACTCGTGGCTATTTGAGCTCACAATAAACATCTTATACTGAACGTTAAAAAGTGAAAGCTTCTCAAATGGCTACTACCACTTTGAACTCTCGATTTCTCTTGTTAACATTAATCACACGCGTGCACACACCGCGGGGAGTTTCGAGTAGGAGCCTGACAACATAACCAAACCTGTTTTCCTTCTCGAGGCCCTTGTTGCGCTTGACCAGCCGCTCCTTCTCCACAGACACCTCCTTTAGCTTCCTCTCCTGGCTCTTCACCTTGTTGCCGAGGCTTGCCTTCTGAGCCAGCACCTCCTGTCGTGATCGCTCCAGCTCCTTGGCAAAATGAGAGAGAGTCAAGTATTACCCTGGTTTCATTAATTGTGCAATATAAGGATTGAATCGATGGGTTGACGGATTGTATAGGATTATAAATGAATAATTATTAATGCTATATAATCATGGAGAATAATCCTTATCTAAGATAAGATTTGAGGCCTGGAGGTGACTTAATATTTGGTAGATTGGAACTGTACCATGAGAGGTGAGCGTCTGTAATAATAATTATAATCTGCCATGATGATGTCCTCCCTTGTTTATGATATATTTAAAACATAACTGTAGCTTTGGCACTACTATAGACAACCCCTGGATGTGCATCGCTTGCCTTCAACATGCGATCTTCACCTCCTCACAATGTGACCTTCACCTCCTTACAATGTGACCTTCACCTACTCACAGTGTGACCTTCACCTCATCACAATGTGACCTTCACCTCCTCACAATGTGACCTTCTCCTCCTCACAATGTGACCTTCACCTTCTCACAATGTGACCTTCGCCTTCTCACAATGTGATCTTCACCTTCTCACAATGTGATCTTCACCTCCTCACAATGTGACCTTCACCTTCTCACAATGTGACCTTCGCCTTCTCACAATGTGACCTTCACCTCCTCACAATGTGACCTTCACCTTCTCACAATGTGAC